ACAAAAGATAACCCCGCCTCCAGTATGCTTAAAAATGCAGAACAATAATGTTCCTGGTCTTATTATGCATATAGTAACATGAAGTTCTTCATGCTTCCTGAGACCAAATTAAAATTCTTGGCCTCTTGTTAGCAAAAATCTGGTTTGGGTCAAATTGATAGAGGACATTTGACAGAGAAACCAAACTTTCACAAACAACAACAGATCAGACAATTGTGGTTGGTGTTCTATACCTTGACAGTTTCAAGGACTTCTTTGGAGTTTGTAATGTAAAGAACCTAGTGTACATAAACTGAAATTTGATTGAAGAACAAGTAAACTTGCCACTTAATTACAAAAATTAAATTACAAGTTTAAAATGCATAACAATCGACAGAGGAAAACCGGGACACAAAGGCTGAATTACAAACAAACTACTCCTAAGTACAAAAGCTACTTCTAGTTAAGTTATGTTACTCCTAATTCCACATCGGTTGTGAATTTTGTTGAAGGTCCTTTTCTCTTTGAACTTCCACATTTTATATGACTTTCAATGGCCATGCTGTGCTGCCACGTGCCCATTTGCCATGCTCCTATAACTGCCCATGAATTGCAACTGCCTTTGAATTCCCTTTTTTCCTACTACTGCCATGTACTGCCTCACCATTCCTCTTTCTTGGGCCACTAACTTTACCTCCTTTATTCTTGGCCCTCTTCTGAATGTGAAATTTTAAATTTTTGGTGTCAACAATGCCCCCTTCATTCAGGATAAAACTAGTTTTTTCTTGAATGAATACCTTCTTTTTTTTTTTTTTTAACAAAAGATGGACTTTCAATATTAATGTGACTCCACTCAATACTAATATGATCCATTTATCAAAATAATTGGGCCTTAGCCCAAAAACTTAGTATAGCCTAATGCGGAGATACCCACTCAATATAAACTTGAGAATTTGAATCTCTAATCTCTATTCCTACCTTTTCACTTCTTGCACCATCTCCTGTATCCTTTCAATTTTCGGAAAGCAAACCCTAACAATGGCACCCAAGAAATCGAAAGCCGAACAACTAGAGAATTCGAAACCTCAACCAGTGTTTCGTTTCCCCCCTAAGATTAGAGAGAAAATTCGAGCTCACAAATTCGACAACTACATAAATCCTGTGGACTCCTCTGCTAAAGGGGAATTGGGACCAACCTTTTTTCATAATAATATTCCTGATGAGGTAGCCCCTTATTTCTCCCTATTGCTCAGACAGAAACTCTGTTGCTCGACAGAGCCAAGCTAACCTAGAACTAATGGGAAACTGGTCGCAACCCTCGGCGATCATGGATAAAACCTAGTGCAGATTGGATGCTTTGGGTTAATAGAATCATGAAATATGACCTGGACCTCTGGCAAGCCCTTGGCATCTATGATGCCATACATCTATCAACCTTTGCCTTTGATATGGACAAATGGACAATCAGTGCTGCCACCTGCTTTTGGTCTACTTCTTGCAATTTCTTATTGCTGAAATGTGGTATGATCTCCCCTACTATTTTAGATGTTGTACATCTGACTAGACTCCCTATGAGTGGCCAACAAATCAGTGCCCTTTTGACTCCTCAAAAGGCTGACTTCAATATTGCTATCAACATTAGCTATGGGAGTTTTATGAAGAAATACCAAAAATTTGATTTGAAGAGAGGACAACCTTTTATCTTTTATGGTTGAACTAGTTCTTTTTTTGTATCCCTAGTTTTAAGGTAACTAGAGAATATTTGCCTCTTTCTATTTGTATTCAAGAAGGCATTGAACTAGCTTTTGCTCCATTTTTGCTGGCCATATTATATAGGGGCCTCTTTACCTTAGCCACCAAAGAAATAGATGTCAATTGTGGTGCTCCTTTCTAGCTCTTTCAAGCCTGGCTTTATGCATATTTTCCTGAAGTCAGGCCTTCCAAACACACACCATACTCTTCTCTTTGTGGGTGTTATGCTGAACATTTCCTCTTTTTTCGAACCTCAACTGATATGTCCTTCACTAGAGCCTTTTCTTTTTCCATGGACTCTCTGTTGACAGAGAGGAACTTTATTCATACCTTTTAATGATTTCCACTTCAAATCCTCAACTCTCACATACGTTCTTGCGGTCAAACTTTGGATAATACATGGGAAAACAAACAAAAATCCTTTTGGGCTTAAGTTCTTACTTCTAGGTATATCTTTGTTGGGGGTTCAATTGCCAACAATAGATTATCTAATTGCAGCTTTCAAAGTTGTAACCCATGCCAATGGGCAGGCAATTTGGGTTCATTCGAGTTTTACCTTGCCCTTATTTTCATCCCACTATTTCTGAATATGTGGAGTTAAGACATCAATTTAAAATAAAGGAAGATGTTGAATTCATCCTTGCTACCAATCAAGAATTATTTGATCAATTCAGCTTATACTTCTGCAACATTTACCCATATCCTTCCAAAAAATTCCAAGCTTGGTGATTGCTTATGAATGCTATCATTTTCCATAAAGACTTGGCTGCTTACCTTTGGGATCTCCATCCTGACAACAACAAAGGAGTGGAAAGAGTTGTAGGTCAGTTTTTCAACCAATTCTATCAAATGCTCTTTCTTTCTTTCGTTTTCTTAATGTTTCATTTCTACAGGCCCCTTCCCATTGGTTCTGGAGCCTTTGGCCACTGAAATACTAGACTTTAAGGGCAAAGGAAAAATAAGCTATACCAAGAAAGCTAAAAAGAACCCTATGGATGAATCTCTTGCCAACATCCAAGAAGGAGACAGTTCCAAAGCTCTTCCTCTAGTGGCCATAACTGAGCCAACTCAAACTGCTACCAACCCAACTTCCCCTTCATCTTCTTCAGATTGGGACATGCCTATTGGCCAAATCTTTTGCTCTTCAACCGAAAAACCTACTAATCAGAGCCCAGTAAGAACTTCTAAAGTACAATACTAGGTTCTTTACTTCAGCTTTTCCTGACATTTTCCAAATTTTCTTGACATTAAACTGTTAAATTTTAAATATCATCTCTTTGCCTTGACAGAGAAAAAGGAAAAAACTCATCTACCCTTCCACCAGCTCAGATGACCAAGAAGTCCCAGCCAAATCATCTCCTCAGCTTGCCAAGGAGAAACCACCATCTCCCCTTGGTTCTCTACTTGCTGAGGCTGGGATCCCTCATGTCATAGTTCTTGGGGATCTCCTTGCTTTCCTTGTTAGAGGTGTTGCCCCAGGCTCAAATGAAACCATTGACTTCCCAAGAATAGATGACATCATGAGTGAGTCAGAGAGTGATAAGGAAGACAATGCACCGCCAATCAGAGAATATCAACTTGGAGAAACCCCTGTGGATTTGGTAACCAAATCTCCAGAGAATCAGCCACTTATGACTTCTCTTGGGATGAACCAGACCCAAACACAAAGCCATGCTTCCACTTCTAGCCCTTCCCAGTCTATGCCTATACATTCCCCAAATGATGCCTTGCAAAATGACACAGCTCCTTCGGTTGACCCACTCTTGGCATCTTCCTTACCACCATCTAAGGCTGTAATTCTTCCTTTTGCTACTGTTGAGACAAACAAAGAATCAACACTTCCTTCTTTAGAAACTACACCATTACCATCCACCATTGCCACTGATGTTACTGGCTTGGCAGAGTCAGTGACTCTTTTTCCTAATCCTCACCAGAAGGTAAATCTTCCTAACACAAGTTATATTTGTGATTAGATCTTCATATGACTAAACTTTGAATTTTGACAGTTTAGAGGTACATCCCATGCTCCTACCAGTGCTGAAATGGATGTGCAAACAACTCCACCTCACAGTCCTCCTCAAGGAGCAAAATCAACATCTTCTTCCCAAACAGGGCTCCTTTCTATGGAGGTAACTTTTCTTGACTTGTAACAACACATAACAATTCTCTTCAACTTATTAACCTTGGCCTATCTATTCAAGTAGAATCAACTCCAATCACAACTTCATCTCCTCTTACTTTTGGGACCACCGTTGAGGCTTTACTGATGGAAGCCTTTTAACTTCAACAATCCCTCACAAATCTGAGTTTTGAGGAAAAGCTTAAATAACTTACTCAAAAAGAGCAGCGGATGGTCAATCAGTTCTTCCAGCTCCTAGAACTCTCATTTGATGACCTGGCTCTTGCAAGATCTGTAGAGCTTCTCAGTTGTTTTGAGGCCATTCAAACTTTAATGCCAAAGCTTTTTGACTCAGATCAAATACAAGTCTTTCAAGATTTCTTGACTGCCCTTCCCCAACACATAGTAGCCATCAACCAGTATCATGCTGAAACTGAAACCAACAAAGCTTAAATTGATCAATTGAGATCAGTGACTGCTTCTCTGACTGGTGCTTCTCAAGCCTTCCAAGACACCATTACTCAAGACAACCTACTCTCAGCAAGAGAAGCTCACTTGGAGGCTCAATTGGCACAAGTCAAAGCTGAAAGAGCCCTCCTCAAACAAGAACAGTCCAGAATCAAAGCCAATATGCAAGATATATTAACTCAAGCAGAAGATGGTCCTACTAGTATCAAGTCTGCCTAGGCCAATCTCCAACAAAGTAAAGCAAAACATAGAAATGTGCTACAAGCCTGGAACAATTTTATCTTGCATTTTTTTTTTTAAACTTTTGCTTTGCAACTCTGGCTGTACATACTTGATTTATATGAATGAATGTGTCGTTTTTCTTTATCTCACGCTTTCCCACATTGTAGGATAAAATTTTTTTAAATATTTTCCATTGATTATTTTTCTATGTGGCTCTCCTTCCAAAGATGCTAGGTGATATGCCCCTCATTTTAAAACCTTGTATATCTTGAAAGCTCCTTCCCAGTTAGGAGACCAATTCTCATATTCTAGGCTTTTTGTTCCAAGAGGCAAAATAGTTTTCTAGACTAATTCTCCCTCAGAGAACACTTTATGCTTTACTTTCTTGTTATAACTCCTTTCTACCTTCTTCTTTTGTGAATTAAGTAATTGAAAGAAAAAATCCTTTTCTCTTCCAAATTTATAACTCAATTGTCATGGCTTCATTATATTCATCCATTGGAATGTTCAACTGTTGAGCCATCAATTAGATCTTATAGTTACTTCTAATGGAAGAACAACATCATGCCCATACACCAACTCATATGGGGTTGTTCCTGTACTATTTCTCCTAGAATTCCTATAAGCCTATAATGCCTCGGGCAAAAGATTGTGCCAATCTCTAGGATTATTCTCAATCATTCTCTCCGAAGTATTCTTTACAATTTTGTTTGTTGCCTCAACTTGCCCATTTGCTTAAGCATAATAGGGGGAAGAGTTTAAGATCTGAATGCCATACTCTGTGGCAAACTCTTTTATTTCATCCCTATTCAACATGGTCCCTTGATCGACAGTAATGGTTTAAAGCAGACCAAATCTATGGATCACATTCTTTTTAAGGAACTCAATAACCTGGGACTGCTTTAATGAAAGTGTGAATATTTGTCCTACCAAATCCATTGCCCAACCTCTGAAAGGCCAATGCTTTACTATTGAATTCAAGCTTGTAGCTGGGACCCTTTGGACACTACCATGTTTCGGGCAACTTTGACACCCCTTTTCATACATGTTACAATCCTTTCGTATAGATGGCCAAAAATATCCATATCTGCTAATCAGTCATCTCATCTTATCCCCAGCTTGATGGGCTCCACATATGCCCTCATGGGCTTTTGCCATTGCTTTCATTTGATCTTCTTGGTCTATACATAATAAGGTCAAGCCATCATGTGCTTTTCTAAACAAATCATCCCCCATTATGACATAATTTAAAGCTTGGTATTTTACTTGCCTATTACAAACATTACTAGGGTTGAGCAAGTATTTAATCAAAGAATACCTCCAATTACTTTCGGACACTTTAAGTGTCATTATTGGTAAGAAATCTCTATGCCTGTCCTTAGAAGTCAGAAAGTTCCTCTTCTGGATTCTTATAATCCTTTCTTGGGCTCTTTTAAGAATTCTTAACCGTGATGCTGATTGAGCCATCTCATTAGCTTCTTTATTCTCTATTCTATACATGTGTGTGTGAAAGACACATGGTCAAAAATGTTTGTCAACCATTTTGCCTCAATTAAATATTCTTCCAATGTTTTGTTCTTACCATTTGCTTGATGACTAATTGAGAGTCACCAAAAACTTGCAGCTTTCGAATCTTGAACTCTATGGCCAACTCAAGTCCAATTATTAAAGCCTCGTACTCAGCTTGATTACAAGACTGCACATGTTGCTCATCCAACTGATAAGCAAACTGATACATCAACTGATTAGGAGCAATCAAGACAATACCAGCTCCAACTCCCTCATTTGTTTTAGATCCATCAAACATTAACCTCCAAGGCTTAGTATCTATCACATGAACCTCAAACAAATCTGGTTCAACAGGCAAACATCGATGCTCTACCAAAAAATTCACCAATGCCTGTCCCTTTATAGCTTTCTGTGGCACATACTTAAAGCAGTATTCAATTAAGACCAACACCTATTTACCTTGCCTATGTCTCAACACAGGTCTAGACAACATATATTTTATTACATCAGTTTGTGCTACAACAAACACTTCTGAAGGGAGCATGTAATGTCTATGTTTTATGGTAGCAAAATGTAAAGCCAAACATAACCTTTTGACAGAAGTGTACCTAGTTTCAACATCGTTCAACCTCTTACTCAAATAATAAATAGCCTGCTTATGAGCCATATCATTTTCCTGGGCCAATAGACATCCAATCGACAGGTCACATGCTGAACTATAAAGCTTCAAAGGCTTTCCATAAACAGGTGGCATAAGTACTGGATGATTGGTCAAATACTTCTTGATCAGATCAAAAAGCCTTTTGATGAAATTCCTCCCATTTAAACTCACCATTTGACTTTATCTTCACCAAAGAAGAAAGCACCAAAGCCTTCCTGGCTAAATTGGCTATGAATCTTCTTAAGAAATTAATCTTACCTAAGAAACTTTGCAATTCTTTCTTATTGCTTGGGGATTTAGCTGCCAATTTTGCCTGGGCTTTGTCAGCATCTACCTATATTCCTTTGTGATGCACTAGAAAGTCTAGAAACTTCCCAGCAGTTACCCCTAAAGGCACATTTTATAGGGTTCATTTTTAACTTGTGGCTTCCCATCTTCTGAAATGTCTGTCTTAAATGGTTTAAATGCTCTTCAAATGTGTTAGATTTGACAGCCACATCATCCATATATACCTCTAAAAACTTTCCTATCAAGTCATGAAATATAAGATTCATTGGCCTCTGATAGGTGGCTCCAACATTTTTCAAACCAAAAGGCAAGACCACCCATTCAAATGTACCTAGAGCCCCAGGACACCTGAATGCAGTTTTATGAATGTCATCTGGATTGATGAAAATTTGGTTATATTTAGCACGCCCATCCATGAATGATAAGACCTGGCTTTTAGCTGCTGAATCAACTAGCAAATCAGCCACTGGCATAGGACACTCATCTTTTGGAGTTGTTAGATTTAAATTCCTAAAATCTATGCAGACTCTCAATTTTCTATTTTTCTTCATGAGAGGCACAATATTTGACAGCCATTCCACATACGTGGTTGTCTAACGAAATTACTTCATTAGTTATTCTCCTTAGGGGTTGTTTATTTGGAGTGAAGTTATTTTTTATTGGCAGCCTATGTTATACTAAAGTCCTATCCAAACCAGGCATTTCTTCATAACTCCAAGCAAAGCAATCCACATACTCAAATAGCAAGTCAATCAACTTGCATTTACTTTCATTAGATAAACTAGCATTTACATAGATTGGCCTTTTACAAGCCTCAATACCCAAGTTGAATTCCTCCAAAGGATCTTGAACATCTACTTTAAGGTCATCCAACTTGGTAGGAGCAGCTCTCAAATATTCTAATTGCACCTCTTTATAACTCATAGGACTATTGTCTATTACAAATTCTGCCCATGAACAAATAGGCATTGACTTAAACTTAAACATACTTACAAGAAAGAAATTAAGAAGTCTAACAAAAGTAGACCTAATTACAAGGGTTGTGGCTGTCTCATCCAGCCTGTCTTTTTCACATATCTACATCTATATCTCTAACTTCTGTCACTTCCTCAATCACAAGCCCTCTCTGTATCTTCATTAGGCTTGGTTTGGCCAATTCTTAGCCTATTTGCTTCAACCCCTTTTCTATGATGTCCTTGAGCTCTTCATTAGTCAAGCTCTTACCTTGGGATCTAACCTTATCTTCAACCACTTCCACTAGTCCTAAATCTTCATCATAGAGTACAGCCTCTATGTTGTGAACATCTGCTACAAAAGGGTTGGCACCTGCTCAGTAAATTTCCAATCCATTCTGCTCTTTTTACCCATTACTGGTTATGAAAATCAGAGCTTGATGCAAAGAAGATGGTACACACCCATTAAGGTGTATCTAATCCATTCCTAGCAGCACATTGTAGTTAGAAGTGGAATCAATCACAAAGAAAGTGGTTCCCATTAACCTTGAACCAATCTGAAGTTGGATAGCAACAACTCTCATTGCTTCAGATGGTCCCCCCAGCAAAATTACTTATATTAATATCAGTAGGCAACAAATCTTCCACTAACTTACCGATTGTCCTCAGAGTTTTGGAAGGGAGAATATTGACAATTGCTCCATTGTTCACCCGCACTATGTCGACTGGAACTCCATCTAGATAGGCTCTCACATACAATGGTCTTAAGTGCCTGATCAACTTTTCTTTAGGCTTCTGTAACACCACCTTCTCACCATCGATAGACTTAACTACTTCTATAGACCTTAGTGACTTAACCTCTACCTTAGTCATTGTCACTGGTACAACTGGCTCTGCCCAGTCTTTTATATCCCTTGCCAATATGTTTGGCTGGTCTGGCTTAGCCTGAAACTTATTTGGAATGGCCATAATCATATTACACTCTTTTGGATTAGGTAAAGAACCAAATTGGATAGCAGCCAACTTCTCCACAAAGTCACCACCAGAACTGTCTGACTTGACTTCTTCTCCTTTAGCTTCCTTACTAGAATGTACCATATTATCCATGGCCAATTCCTGGCCTTGAATCTCTTGCATTGTCACATCTTCCCCATCCTTATTATCTTCATCAGACATGAAATCCTTTTCTAGCTCTTTCAATTTCTGTCTTAACAAAGCTTTTCCAGAAAGTTTCTCAACAGGCTTGTCAGCTGATTTTTTTGGCTCCATTTCTCTCTTTAAAATTTGAATTGGATGCACTGGATGAGCTCTAGAAGTTGAAGTTAACCCCTTCATTTCCCTAACTGAAAAAGTAGGAATCAAACCATCTCTAGTCCACGCTAAATCTTGCCTTTCAATTCTTTTATCTCCTGCAGCTTTAGACATCATGGTATTGAACTTCCTTTGTTCTCTTCTTCTTTGAGCCCTTGTCTCTCCTATAGATCTCTAGCCACCCGCAGGAAATTTTGGGGGAACTACCTCTTGCCATCCTAAAATAGGTGGCACTCGAGGCTTCACCATTCTGGATTGGGCTGGTTACAAACTGTTGTTGTCCCCTATGTGGCCTTCCAATATGTTTTTGGCCACTATGAGGCTTCAGAAAATGTTGTTGCTGGCCATTGTATGGCCTTGTCAATACCTTTGGAGTTCCATATGGTTTAGAACCTTTTTGCTATTTTAGCATTGCTCTAATATTACTTGATCCACCAAAACATTGATGGACACAAGCTCTTTGAAACAAAAATGAAGCATCATCCTCCCGATAATTCTTTGCAAGGCCAAATATTCCTGGATCTGACCCATCATAAAACACACTTTTGTTATCAAATATCTATAGATCATCACTTCCCATAGTATTGAACCTAAGGCCAACATTCTTTCCAATCTTTTGAAGTCCATCTATCACAATGGCCTTTGTTTTTTCTTTTTCAGTACCACATCTAAAGCAGATGAACCTTTCTTTAGGCTCCTCTTGAACTTTTTTCCCTCTTGCTTCTTTAGTAGCCTTTTGAATTCTTTCTTTGCGCAATCTCTCTAGTTCTACTAGAAAAACTCCAAGATTTTCCCCTTTTTCTGGTCAGTCGATTGGAGGCCAGTTGCCACCATATTAATGCCTACCACCTCTGAAAAAGGATCACTATTTACTGTCATCACACCTTTGTTTTTCTTAGCATACTTCAACATTCCTTTTTGAATTAGAGCCTGCACACAATTTCGAAATGTGACATAGTTGTTAGTAGAATGCCTAAAAGAATTGTGCCATTTGCAATATTCTTTTCCAATTCTATCTCTTTTTTAGGGATATTATGGCCAGGAGTTAAAGTTAAAAATTTATTGGCTATTAATTCATCAAACAAAGCATCTGCTTATGATAAATCGAATGAATACTGTTTACTAGCTGTAGTCACATTCCTTTTTGTTGGCTGTGTTGATGGCATGTCCATAGGTTTTTCTACCTTTTTTAAATTCTCACACACCATAGGTTACTTGCCAATAATTTGTGCTACATCAATGTCTATATCAAAATCACAACCAACTTCTTGGTAATAAGTACCAAAGAGGTTGCCTTCCTTTGTTGTTCTTCTCTAAGGATTGACTCATAACTGGTTGCCCTAGAAGACAATTCATAGAAATCTCTAAATATCATTCCTTCAAATTTCTTTCTCAGCTCGAAATCTAAACCATTTTGAGCTAATCTTATAACTTCTATCTCAGGAATGTATGCATAACATCTGTTTTTCGCTCTCTTAAACTTGTCGATATATTGTTCTGCAATCTTTCCTTTCTTCTGTTTGAATTTCAACAGATCTACTAAGGTAACTTCAAGCTCAGTTCTAAAGAATTGAGCATGAAATAGACTTTCCATCTCTTGCCAAGTATGCACAGAATTTTTTGGCAAGTTGATGAACCAAGTGAACACAGTCTTAGACAATGAATTAGGGAATAATTTCATTTTGAAAAGATCATTTTGTCCTCCTTCTCGACACTGCAACACAAATCTCCCTATATGTTTAATGCTGGACTGCCTCTCTTCTCTTGTAAACAGGGAAAATTCAGGCACCCAAAAATTCCTTGGGAGAGGCATATTATCCACATTTGGTGGATATGGACTCCTAAACATAGGTTTGTCTTGCCTCCTTAAGCCTGGGCCATACATTTCTTGAATCAAGTTCATTATTCGCTGCCTGTTATTAATATGAGGGTCTAAGTATTGTTGTTGAAGTATTGTTGTTGATGTCCCCCTCCTTGGACTTCTGGTTGGAAGTAAGGAAAAAGGGGGCCAGGCCCTTTAGGCCTTAGGTTCATCATCTTGGGTTCATAGTATGGTTGTTGTATGGCATGATCCTGCATATTCTGAGGCCTTACTTGATTGATTGGCCTATTTCTTTGTTCTTCCATAGCATGATAACCTGCTACAGGCCCATACAATGCATGTATACCATACATTTATGTCCTTGGTTGCCGCCCAAGTCTCATTCCCATATCATTTAAGTTATGATTAGACACTGGGTTTACGAGGTACTCCCTCTCAAACACAGGATTTACAATCATTCCCTCCTCATATCTTTCTTGGAGTGTGGGAGGTCTATAAAATGATACAGTTTCATTTACATTTGTATGTTGTGGAGGGACCACTAGAGTTATGAATTGTGCTTTATTTACCATGAGTCTCCTCCCTAACCCTTCTTGATTGGCTGGGCTTGATGTTAGCCTTCTCAAACAAAACCAGCAAGTCATCTACCATCACTTGGTTCTCATATGCAGACATAGAGCCAATTGCTTGCTGAGTGTGCAATAGAAGAGCCCTTCTTGGATCAGTAGGAGAGCAATTGGATTGGCCATTTTTGGCCATTTCTTGAATGATTTCCTGTCTGGCCATTGAATGGCCATCAC